CGGCGGTCCGGAAGCCGGGCAAGCGGTCGGCCGCCGTCATCGTGGTGGGCCGGCTGTACGGGCTGTCCGCACGCGACCGCGGCCGCCCAGCGCCGTGCTGTACGCGCAGGCGTGCTACCGCCGCGGGCAGGGGCGTCACGTGTCCGACCGGATGGCGGTGGCCGGGCGCGCACGACCGCGGTCGCCTGCCCGGCAACCCGCCGGCGGCCCGATGCCCGTGGTCGGCTACTGAGCGAACGCACGGAAGCGTCGAGACGCTGGGCCGATGGCGGTCCAGGCCAGCGCGGCCGCCTGGCCGAGGAACCGGGCCGGCGCGTGGACGACGCGCGTCCGCTCACGCCGCGAGCGGCGGCCGTGCCCGGACGTACGCGTGCTGCGCCGCGCGTCGCGCGTCGGGCGCGCTACGTCCGGCCGGACGCGCGTCCGGTGGTGTGCGGCTTCGGGGACCGCACCGGGCGCGCGCACCTGATCGCCGCGGCGTCGACTCGATCTGCCACAGCACCGTGGACATCGTCGGTGCGTGGTCGGTTCGCGTCGAAAATCACGGAACCCGTGCACGTGGACGGTCCGTGCACGGCGCGACGACTGATGCAGAGGCTGTCGGACGTGGCCGGCCACCGGCTGGCGGTCACCGGCCGGACATGGCCGTCACCGGCGGGCCGGATGGCCGCGCCGCGATCAACGAGTACGCGGACCGGCACAGCACACCGTCCACTACTCGCCGACGACAACGGGCGAACTGCGGTCGGCGTGGGACGGCCAGTGGGCGAAGGCGGTGCGCAGGAGCTACGGCTGGGCGGCCGTGGACGGCCGCGAGTTGGACGACCAGTACGCGGTGGCCTCCGCCAGATCCGACCGCTTCGGCGTTTCGCGGTTGGCCGACGTGTTCCGCCGCATCGGTTTTTGGTTCAGCAGTGGAGCGCACCGACTGCTCTACGCCGCGCACCACTACTTCGCACCAGACGGTCACCCGCACCGCGCCGGAAATGCCGACGGCTCGCCGCCGACTGTCTGTGAATCCCTGCGTGAACAATTTTAAAAGAGAGCGCCAGCCACTCATTCCTATAGCTCATCCTATTGCTCTCTTGCTCGTCCTTACACTGTGTTGTTCATCCCTACTATCGGCTCTCATTCTGCCGTCGCCGCCCCCGATGTTATCACAGGTTTTCATTGTTATCAATAATTTATTTATCCGCCGCCCCAACGACACATGAACCATGCACACCTGTCTCCCGCTCCAGTACCCCTCCCCAAAATTCTTCGCTACCCCGCAGACTCTGTCGGTTACACTAAGTATCCGAGATATATTTTTTCGCGCATGGGCATATGACAACATAACGAGCTGATGGGGAATATACTGTCAGTGATATTAGATGCACCACCACAAAAGGTTAGAAAACAAATTTTTTTGGAGGATGAATTTACCGCCATATCGAACATAGTGTATCAAGGGGAAATATGCTAGTCATAGAGTCGAAGAAAAAAGAGGGATGTCGTGAATTGTTGGATAGAAAAAATTTGTTGAAATCACATACTACAATATCTAGAGGAGAGTATTTTTTAAAGCAGTCACACGAAAAACCAATATCATACGACCAGTTGTTTTATATCAATTTGCGATGATCGGTAATTATATTGATCGAGAATTCATCAGAGTTGATTCACCACCAAAAACAAACGAAGAAATGTTGGTTTTTATTAAAAACCTCCAGAATGATCGAATCACGACGAATCCCGATTTAAATTTTGTTAATCAATTGGAAGTATTAGCAACAAGACAATTATCTGAACAATGGGCACAGCGATGGAGCGAAGAACAACAAGAAGAAGAAAACTCATCAGAGGTAAATCTTTAATTTATATAATTTGTAAAAATAATAATTATTTTTTTTTTTTTTTATCTTAAGGCAATATTGCCTTGTCGCTTCAACTAATCTTCTCAATTTCTGCTAGTCTTTTCATTTCCAATATAGCTCTTTAGCTCTTTTTCATGCTTCCCAGATTTGTCTCTCTCGGCCGTCCTCTTCCTCTTTCCCCATTTATCTTCCCTTTCATAATATTTGTAATGAATGTTTATGTCTCATAATGTGTCCCAAGAACTTTATTTTTCTTATTTCCATCATTTTTATAATTTGTCTTGGTTCTTCTATCATATTTAACACTTCTATGTTCGTTTTTATTTCTATCCAGCTGACCTTCATTATTTTCCTTCATGTCTACATCTCTAATGCTTCCATTCTTCTTTTATCTAGTGTGCTTAAAGTCCATTACCCACTACCATACAGCGCTATACTTTAAACATACGTTTTGATAAAATGCTTTCTAATTTTAACTGATAAGTATTTGCTTGTTAATAGATTTTGTTTCTTTTGTTTCTTGGTAAAAGCTTGCTTAGCCAAAGCTATTCTTCTCTTTATCTCTGTCGTGTATTTATTGTCCTGCGTAATATGATTACCAAAGTAGCAAAATGATTTGACATCCTCAATAGGTGTGTTATTTAAACTGATGGTTCTTTGCATTTCTTTTCTACGTTTGTCTACTATTAGAATTTTGGTTTTTTTTGGCATTTATTTTTAATTGAACTTGTTCTAGTGCTATTGATAAATTTGTCAACATATTACTCAAATCGCGTTCGTTTTCAGTTACTAAGGCTATATCGTCTGCGAATATTATACTGTGTATTTGTCTTCCATTTACTTTTACACCTTTCGTTTTTTCTTTAAATTGTTTAATGACACTTTCAATAAATATATTGAACAGCAAAGATGACACAGAGCAACCTTGTTTTACTCCTTTCCTAACCAATGCGCAATTTTTAACATCTTTTATTTCAATTTGGGTTTTTTGTTGTTTGTATAGTTGGAAGATAATACGTCTATCCCTCCAGTTTATGCCTATTTGACTCATTGTTTTAAATAATGTTTTCCATTTGACGTTATCGAATGCTTTTTCGATATCCACAAATGCTTTATAAGTGCTTCTATTCATATCCATTCTCCTCTCTAATAATATTCTCAATGCAAATAACGCTTCCCTTGTTCCTTTTCCAGGTCTAAAACCAAATTGATCGTCATCAATATTGTTTTCTATTTTTTATTTTATCCTGTTTTTTATTATATTTAGCAAAATTTTCGATGTGTGCGATATTAAAGATAAAGTCCTATAGTTAGCACAATCCGTTGTATTGCCTTTTTTTGGAATCGTGACTAGTTTACTTATTGTAAAATCGTTTGGAATATTTCTTGTAACATAGCAGTCTTGTATTCTTTCGTAGATGATGTTCTTCACTTCTTCGTCGGCATTCTTCAATAACTTGCTTTTCATTAAATCCGGTCCTGCTGCCTTGTTGTTTTTAAGTTGTTCCAATGCAAAATCAAATTCCTTCCTAATGATCGCCGGTCCTTTAAAATCTATTCTTACTTCATCTTCTTGTTCGATGTAGTCGGTCTCTTTTTTGATATCTTCTCCGTTATATAACTCATCGACATATTGTTTCCATCTATCACTTATATCTTCCGTATCAATCAATAGTTCACCCTTTTTATTCTTAACTATACTGCTTTTCGTTCTATTTTGGAACGATGTTAATTTAACTATGCCATATGCTTTGTCCATTTTACTTTTACTTATCTTGTCTTCAATTTCTTTTGAGATTTTTTTCATCCATATTTCCTTTGCTTCTCTGCATTTTGTTGTTATATAGTTTTTTGTTTTTTGGTATTGTTGATAGTTCCCATTTTTCTTATAGTTGTTCTTTTCCTTGATCAAATTCAGTATTTGTTGCTATATCCACAGTTTTCTAGGTCTCAGTGTTTCATTTTTTAAGGTAAAAAAGGTTATATATTTTATATATTGCAGAAAATTAATTAATTTGATTATACTTATTATGTATACCTAACTATATTCACTAGTATAGTTTTATTATTACCTGATTGTAATAGTCAATCTTTCTTCTAGACACACAGGAAGTCGGAACTTAGTAGTTTTTTTTGTAATGTAGGGATGTAGTTTTTCTAATAGCTCATTAAACGAAGAAATGGACATTCTATAATACTCTAAAAATTTATTCGGATACTTTCGAATGTCTCCATAAAATGAAAAAAAACCGATTATTAGTTTCCCGTACTACGAGTATATTAAATGGATGAACCCAAAACGATCTTTCTGACTTTGATGGGTTCAGATATCCAAATGCCTCTGCCACTGCAACGACTTTTATTGCATTCATATAATAGTTGTAATCCACATTAAATCAAAAATTAAAAAAAAATTAAAATATGATTTTTATTAATAGAAGTTCATATTTTTTAATAATGATACAGATAAATAACTTGTAAAAAAAAATATGTAATTGTTCGTTGTTAGTTGTTTCTTACCTTTAACTTATTTATTCAATAAATAAATTTGTAAATTATGAAGTGAACACTTTCGTGAAAAAACTTAATAAGAAATATACAATAAAATGTATAATAAAAATGTAAAAAAATACAATCAAATGACGCGCAAAATAGTACCGAATCAATAAATACTGGTCAACTGAGCTAGTCTGAACGTGTAGTGAATGCGAGCAAACCGCGCGATGGAAAAATGCATGTCAAAACCGCTCTAGTGTGGCGCGGCCCTTATAATTATTCACTGAATCTGAAGTGATGCTCATCTCAACCTTATTACCTCTAATGTATTTCGACTTTTCGTAGTTCGTACGCACGAGATTTGGACAATTGTGCGCAGTATCCTCCATGGTTTATTCTGCCTCAATATATCGAATCTCCACCAACGAGGCTAGAAGTTGATGAGTACGACGGATCAATTAATATGGTAATAAAGATACATTTGATTTTATTATATTTATATTGACAAATTATAATTGTTTAGTTAATCAACGAGAACGATGGTCCTATCAATCCGCCGTCATCATCACCAGCTATCATAGACGAACATTCTACTGAACATGATTCGGACAACTTTACACAGTATCCCCTATAGTATAATAACCGTGTAAAATTTCCATTAACGAGCCTAGCAGTTGATGAGAACGATGGTCCGACGTCTTTCAACTACTCGCCATCTATTCTAGACTTTACAGGCGGCAAGCTCACAAAAAAATCAACTCGACGGAGTACAAAACGCAAACTGTTTGAATAATAATGTAAAATAAAAACAAGCGTGATATTTTAAAATAAAGTATTTTCATTTATTAATATTAAGTCTTACAATAAATATTTACAAGGTTTTACGATTTTCTAATATTACCACTTAACGGGTTATATACTTATATGTAATAATTTGATCGTGTAATATTAATAAGCTGCAGTATTTTCTGGAATAACTGTATCCGTTTCAAATTCTATTCGTAGGTTTACGGTCGACAATTTAACGTTATCATTCTGATGTGACAAATCGACAACGACGATTGGAACATAGTTTTGAAAAATATATTTTGATAACAATAGTTCACAATAATCTCTTTCGTAATACGATTTTTGAAAGTCTGTATAAGCTTTGTAGAGTATGCTGGTGGTATTATTTTTAAAATCGGCTCGAAAGTCTTCATATGGATACACTTCTGAATTTAAGTAAACCTTAAGATTTTTTAACTGACATTGATCGAATCGCCCGGCATCGGTTTCTATATTTTTTCTTTGATCTGTTTGTAATCCAAACAAAATAAATCTTGATTTTTCGAGCAAGCTGCTAGACTTTACAGTCCATGAATGTGAAGTATTTCTAAGAAGTACTGGATATTTACATAGATTCCAGGTTCTGAACTTTATTTAAGTGTACTTACACTTCCTGCCAAGTAGTTAAACCTATTGTTGACTAAGTATTTAACTTAACAATTGATCTTATTTGTCGTCATAGGTATTTGTAAAAGGTATTATAAAATGAAATTTTACTTAGTTTCCATATTATTATATCACGTCTCTTAAAGATTTAATCATTACATATTATTTTAAACTTTTTTAACCTAGCATTTTTACATGGAGTTATAACGAAGTGTTTTTTGTGTGATATCAGCTATTTTTTATAATAAAAAACTCTACTTATTACTTTGTTAATATAGTGGTAATAGAATATTGTATTATGCACTTTATTTTTTTAATATACTGTATCTGTATTTAATAATTAATATTATTAATATTAAATATAGATAAAAAAATTTACGAATTGTATTACTTAAATCATATACATAGATTATTTATCGCATCATTTTTTGGTATAATTATAATTATTATTTTTTACATTATTAGTAAAGTTGTACGCCACCGCAATGAGAATAGTGAGGATGGATAAGCGGGGGATATAAACGGTGAGACATATGATATTTACAGTATTTACGTTGTATTTGCTAAAATAAGAACAAAATAATATATTAATATATTTTATTAAAATATAGCTTAAGGATAAAAAAATAAAACAAATTTTGTAACATCGGAAGTTGCTAGTAAATTTCTTAAGTTTTTATCCGTATGCAATTTCTATAATATAAGAAACAATGTTTTCGGAAGAATATTAATTTTACCGCATGTATGTTTTATTAGTGGATAAATTGTATTCTATTTTGATAAGGTATTAACTACCTAAATATTTAAAATCTCAGTAACACTCTATATTATAATATATTGTAATGATATGCTCACACATCATAATTTATTGTATATTTTATTATTTCATTAAATAAAATAACGGTCAAGTTGTCGTACGCAGATAGCCCTCAATAAAAACCAATAATTCCTATTGATCACTGATGAGAGAGACGATCTACATTGTTTGGTCACGTAGGAACCCAAACGCTATTGCGACAATATGGCACAAAGCGTGTGATCTATTTTCGTATGCCGCCAAAGACAAGGGATGGTCCAATGAGGCTCTCCGTCGTCGGGGAGAAAGCTGATTTCTCTAAGGACACGGAGGCCTTTGATGGAGCCGCCTGCGACTCTGGCTGGTCTTGACCACGTCGTCTTCTCTCCTCAGTGCAGGCGCACCAGACAAGCGAGCAGGAGCTCTACTCAAAACCCTCCATACACTTCACACCACAAGATTCTGCGAGCGATAGCTTAACTTCCTTTTTTATAAGTTAAAAAAAAAAAAAAATAAATAAATAAATAAAAATGGCGCCCGGATAGCTCAGTCGGTAGAGCATTATAGGCTTTTAACCTAGGGGTCTAGGGTTCGAGTCCCTGTCCGGGCGCCATTTTTTTTTTTGTGACTATAATTTTGGCGATGGTTAGATTGTAGAGGTATATAATAATAGAATGACAGCAATTACGTCCAAAAGATAGTATTGATACCACGTCAGATTGAAAGCGTAAGATTTTATGTGAGGTGTACTTTTATGACGAAAAGCATATTCTGTTCAATAAACCACCGATTTTGCCAGAGTCACGGGTCGATCTTTGAAACGATTAGAAGCTGCATTGTCATTTTTTCGGTATCTTAAAAAATTGTTTTCGCAATAACACAGTGTTATGTTTTTATCAATGACATTATTATAGTTATTACACGCAACGATAGTTAAATTTAACGTTTACTGCAACTCACTTTTCATTGTTAATTAATTCATTAACGGCATTAAAAAAGTTTTCTTTAATCACAGATAATCAGTCCATAGAAATTGCCATCCCTGCGTTAGGTTGGGTTAGGTACGAATGATAAAAAAAATCTTTTGTCCTGTGTTTAATTTAAAAACAATATCATTGTGTAATGTAATGTAGGTATAATATGTGTATAATATAGATATGTAAGCAATTGCTTAATGCTTGCATAGTATTTCATGCTGAGGAAACCATTTATAAACATTAATTGAGGAACTTTAGACAGACCGTCTTTGTACGCGTTTTGGATTTGGTCCGGCAACGTTGACATTTCCACAATTGATCCAAAAGTGAAGTAAATCACTTCATGCGGTGAATTGTCGATGTATTCTAAAATATCCAGTAGTTCGAACAATGTAAATTGTGATAACACTAAATTATTAGTTTGTATAAATGTATAAGTTGCAGGTATAAGTAGAGTCTTTTCGATATATTGACGGTTGGAGGGTGTGGCAAGAAAGGAAATTTATTCCATCTAATTTTATAAGTTTCTTGATTATAGCAGCGGTTGTTGGCGAGATTGACCTAATTTCTGCCGGACTACTTTCAGTTTAATTTCATAACATACATTTTCAATTTTAATTCTGAGCGGAACATTGGATGTATTGATATTGTAACGATATGTATTTTATGTGTGTGTGAGTATCTTTTCGGGGCAGTAAAAATGCTTTGATTTTAAATTTTGGGGTGGTTTTTGATGGCGAATTTCTAATCTTGTTGGTACTTTGGGAAGTTATAGGTAAAAAATTCTCATTAGTTTTAAAAATAATCAGGAAAAACGAAAAACTTAAGAAATAAAATTTGTATGTACAATTTTAGTTGTTGACAAAATTGATTTTTTTATTTTCTTATAATTGAAAAAAGAGTCGTTATAATGTTTATTCACTCTATTTCTTTAGTTAATTTATGCTTATAAATTATTATTTAAGAGTACCTACGTATAGGTGTGTAAATTGCATATTTATTAGGGCAAGCTAGTTTAGCGGCTCAAGCCTGGGCAAAAAAAAAAAGGAGAAATAAAAAGTTAGACATTTATTATTTAAATGACAAAACCGCTTAAATATTAAAATTACTAGGTACTATATATTAATTCTTGTATGATTATTCAATTTAAAGTATTTATTAGGTATTTTCTAATGAAATGAAATATTTATTTTTTGTATAGGTAATTTCTTTACAAAAGCGTTTGTATTTTAAATTGTACGGTCCGAATTGTTATTATAGGAATGAGACCAATTGTGGTAGAAGGGAACATTCGTGTTTTTATATGGCGTTTTAAGGCACTGTATTGATATTTAAAAAAAAAAATATAAAATATCGCCGTGGGTCACTGATATTCGTTATTATTTATTTTTTAAAAACCAAAAATATAGGCATATTGTAGGTTAGTGATGACTTGGGCTCGGAAGTTGATGATTTTAAAAACATTAAAAAATGCAAATATGACTTAAAAATAACAAAAAAATCACAAAAAATGAGCTAAAAAATTATAAATATTTGTTTAAATTAGTAAATATACATAAAAAATAAATAAATAATAACAATAATAAAAATTACTCAAAATTATTACATTTTGCTATTAAAGCATATTTTATATTGTTAAAAGTAAAAATGACAGCTAGCAATCGCCTTATTTTATCGAATCTATCTTTACCTAACCCGTATACAACTTATGTAAAATATTATTTTATAAAATATAAATTTGATGTAGGTACTTATATACAGTCTGTGTAAAACAAAAACTGTGCGTGTAAATATGTTAATTGACAAAATCTAATTATAAATACAAGAAATTGAACTAAAAAGGAAAATAGGACATAGTGATTAGCCATTACATGTGACATGGATATTGGGTTTGAACCGTTTCCTATTACGGTATATTCAATTGTCGTTTTTAACGGCGAGGGGGACGAGAATATGATTGGTATATCCAATTGTGTGGCTATGTAAGTGACACAATCCGATGTAGCTCGTTCGACAATTAAATCGTAATTAAACATTAAACTGTTCATTATTAAGTATGATATTTTTCATCTTGGGATGTTCGTGCGTATAATATAGATACTGCAAATGCAACGGGTTCAGTTCATAACCAAAGGTATAATTACCGTAGATTTTCTAAAGGTTTCCATTACGAAACGGGAGTCAATGCCAACGTCCAATCGCTGAAATTTCATTTGATATGTCGATTTCCGTATAGTTGATTCGCTCTCAGTCGGGTAGTGGAGTGAATGCGGTAATGCGATGGCCACTGTCTGTCAATGCTTGGAGAATCGTGCTTATGAAATTCCAATGTCTTTTACCCGTTACTGGTTCTATAGCTAGAATGTTCACAGCTGTGATTTGTGTATTGGACCACGAAACGGTAATGGTAGCAATAAATAATATCGTATAGACAAACGTGCTTATTATTATTTATAAACACCGTCTATGTTCTTGATGAGTTTTAATGCTATAAATGTTTATAATAATACTTGTAATTTTTATCAAGTGT